ATAGTAATTCTTCACACTATAATATTCCTAATTTCAGTGGAAGAAGCAGCCAAACTTCCTTGGGAGCCTACTATCTTGCATTAAAATCAAGATAGTAGTTCTGAGTTTAACAACGAAAGCACTTACAACTCATATGCTTCATTTCATATTCAACTCGTAGATCTAATTTTCATATTACTCGTGATATAAATAACTATAAGTTAACTTTGTGTGTTTAAGTTAACCCACTCGAGGAACTCAAGGTGAGTTGGTCTTGAGTTGGAAAAGCTCACACATGATAGATTATGTTGCAGTCGTATGACCAATATAAAAATTCGAACAAGATATTGCATGGGAAATGAACCAAACATGACCGTGGAGCTGTTTGGTTAAAATATAAAGTTAGGGACTGAATGTAGCTACTGCTGATGTAATAGCCAATAACAATGTTTTGTTGAAGGAATAGCAATTCTCTTCAACCATGTGACCTGGATCCAGAGTCAATGAAACTGAATTCCAATTAAATCCTCTTGGAAGAAAAATAGTCAAACTTGTCTTGTACTTAAGAAGGAAATACCAAATTTACTCGACTACTACATAAATTACAATACCAAAGATCGGTCACTACCATCAATTACAGAACAACCACTGGTCACCAAACTGACCAGTCTGGCCAGTGGCCACTTATTTTCAGCTGCTAAAAGACTAGTTCTCAACAAATCTGCACTCCTTCAGTTACTGCCAGTTTTGTCCAAATCTCTCCCACCCAAAGGACACTGCAACACCTGCTCAACCAACGGAGCATCTGCAAAATCTCAACATCTTTGGTGTGGTACACCTATATACTGGTACCTCTGGTCTCCGAGGTTGTATATGGATTATCTAATTGCCATTCACATGTTGCAGGACTGGTGCACATGGCTTTGGGACAGCATCATAGAGCCGATGCCTTTGGCCTATGACACCAATTTGCACGTCCGCCAAAGCTCATGGCTATCATTCTATTATAAGGTTATACTAAACGAGGGTAGTTTTGTCTTTTCAGTCATAATAAATTAGGACTGGAAGATCCGGGATCATCATATCTAGCAGTTACAAATTCGTACTTTATAGCCTATATTTAAGCATGTACTCAAGGAATGAAGTATATGGGAAAACTATTGAAATTGGAATACAATCTTCTCTCATGTCCGAACAATGTATCAGGTTCGTGACATTTAGTAACTTAGAATTTTATTCTCATTAGTATTTTTCTATTTATATTAGGATCAGCATTTCAAATATTATTAGTATTAATTTCTTATTCTTAAGTATTCCTAATCCTACCAATATACTGTTTCTTATTTTACTCCTATTTAAGAAAAGTTGCTTCGAGATTATTATAAATACCTTGTAATTTCACTTATTAGGATTAGAATTCCTATGTGCAGTGTCTAAGTTTTTCTCCCGAATCCCTAATTGAACAAATCAACAATATTTGTCCTAGATCACAAAAGCTATCTGAGAACTATGTAAAGATCACCCTTTTGCAGAAAAAACTGCAAGTCAAATAACACAAAAAAGCCACTAGAATTTACAGTTGTAAACTCAGACCAGAGATAACTAATTAAATGCTTATGATAAACATTAAAAGCCATCCCATGATTTTAGGTGCATTTATCGCATATATAGGCATGTACCTAAAATAAAACTAAACAAAATTTGTGCCTAAAATGAACCTAAATATCCATATGCCAATATAAATAAATAAAATGAACGTAAATATCCATATGATGTGAAATAAATAAGCTAATGCATGAAACTGAGGACAAGAAAACAAATTCGCTTAAAACCTGAGTCCCAGTCAGATTGCGAGTCACTGTCTCTGTCACTTCGGCCACTTGATCTATTGTCCCACCTTCCATGAATCCCCCGAGAATAATTACCTAACTCTCCTCTCGTAGGTGGGGAAGACCCATATTCGTTCCTTCTAAAACCATGCAACGGTGCATTGCCAGAAATTCTTTGGCGATCTTGTGAAGTATCCTCAAATTCACTGCTCAAGAGAAAGCACCATCAATTTAAGGAACAGCATTCAGAAAGCAATAGCAACACGACAATGATGCAGGAACCAACACGGACCAAGTAGACGTCTCCAAGAATGAAAACTTTAACCAAATAGAAAAAGGAGGTCTCACCTTAGAAGCGACTGATCAAAATCACTGGGCAACCTTTTGCAAACATCCAATTCACTCAGCGATAAAAGGAATTCTCTTGTGTATGAAAGTTTGAATGTCCTGAATCATCAAATCAAATTATCATTCTCCGTAGTAAATACATAAAATTAAGGAACATTCATTAAATACAATTGCATCAACAGCCAATACGAGTAGTCATTACTTTTCTGAATCATGAGCGGTTTCAACAGGATGATTCACTCCGAGTTCGTCTTCCTTTTCTAAGCTCATTCTGCAAAATACTCTTCCAATTTAGAGATGATAATACCAAGCTTGTGCTGATCACTGTCTTCTACCGCGCAAAATGTACTACCAATTACATTTAAACTCAAGAACTGCCAAGCAACATCCAGAACCAGAAATAAAATTTCTATCAACTTACTAAAACTCTTCTGTCCCGCAAAATCCCAGTATAGTATTTCAATATCCAAGCGCTAGCCTTCTCATAACCGGATTATCAAGACTCACAAAATCATCGAAGAGTATATTGCATTGAATTTGTGAACTACTTATACAACACCGCCCATTAACGCTAAACCAAGAAAATTCAAAATCCAGCTAGTACGAACAAAGAAAAATCCAAAACACCAGCTGATTCAAACTTATTCTATCATCTCATTCTACCATCATCAGCTTCCCAAATAAATGAACAACCCCATATTGTCCATCTAAAATTCCCATAATCCCTACAACGAAACAACCATCTTCTTCCTCAAAAAAAAAAAAAAAAAAAATCAAGCTCGAGCCAACATATATGTACACACTAAGCCTGTATTTCTTATATCAGAATCGGAATCTCAGCGTCCTACACCATCGGAATGTATAAATTGTCGCCAAAAAACGATTAAATTTTGAATTCAAAAAGCACTTATCGAGATCGAAGGAAACAAATTAGAGGGTTTTCACTAATCTAGGAATGTCAAAAACTAGGGTTTTGCGTCACAGAGGTACCTGGATCGAAGAATCAAGGAAGCGGACAAAGGATTAGAAAGGAAGCGAAATAGGGTTTCGATCTGCTAACTTTTTTACCCCCCTCAAATCGATTGGCGAGAGAAAGAGAGAGAGAAATAACGACAAAAAGGTTTTTAATTTTTCTGGAGAGAAAAATGGAGAGTGCAATTTGGATCTCTCTTACTGTTGCAGATTAACATTTCCTTCCCCTTTTCGCATCGCTAAATTTTTTTACTAAAAATGAAAATAAGTAGGCTCAGTTAAACGACGCGCCTATCTCTCTCGTCCGTTTCACGCCCTTACTCATTTGGAGCTAAATAGATTACGTAATTACATTTTTATCCACTACAGTTATTTCCTAAATTCTGTTTTATGGCGCTTTCTTTGGATTTTCCAGTTTAATATATGTTTACTATTTCTGATTTAATTATTTACTGAAACTTTTTGAAATAATTCTTCAATAAAATTCAGATATTTTATTATTAACTGTTCGTTCGTTTAATAAAATAATAAGACAATAATATAATAAATTTATTGTTTGAGTAATAAATAATTTTTAATAAATTATGTATCCATATTGGTATTAAGAATCTTTCTAAATAACTTTGGCTTTATCGGGATCTCTTTCGTTAGATTGGTCCAAGCTCAATATCAATGAGCTTGCTCAAAGTGCCTAAGTCAAAATTAGTAAACTAATTATGACATTAAGATCACAAAATTATTTATTTTATTTGTAATATTAGAATTAATCGTCTGATGTTGATTGAAGTTCATGTAGTTCTCGAAAGTTTTAATGTAACGGCCCCGGAAATATTAAAATGAAATGAGTATTTAAATATATCAAATGCAGAAGCGAGATCAAAATTTCAGTTAACATCCCTTACACGAAAAACCAAAAACGTACTTAAAATATAAAAGATTAAACTAACTAAGAGAGAAACTCGAAAATAAAACTATGAGTATGACTACAGAGTCTCTAGGTATCCCCTTCGTCGTCCTCCTGCGGAACGGGCTCGGGAACCATGTCTTCCTGATCTGAAATGGTTAAATAATGAGTGAGCTACACTACCCCAGTAAGAACATCACGATATCTCACCGTCACGGAGGTAAAGGTGGGTAAAAAAACACAAAAAGACCAATGGAGCATAATTTACAATAAACTCGTTTATTAACATGAAAACCTTTACCATCCACTTACCTCGGTAGAATTTATGAAAACAATATAAGAAAAATAATAACATTATCACAATCATGGAATAATATAAGCTGTAAAACATAGCACTTATCACGCCTTTTGTAATTCAATCATTATACAACATATCCTTTTCTCATTTACCAGCCTACTAGTATCCATGGGGGTCCCTAGGGGTCCCGCTACCCGTTAACCTTTAACATTCATAATCAGTTTCCAGGGCCGTCCCCATACCCCGTCCGGTATGGGCGCCAAAACCATAAACCTCAATACCCCGTCCGGTATGAGGGTGAAACGGGCCGTCCCCATACCCCGTCCGGTATGGGCGCCAAAACCATAAGATCTCCATACCCCGTCCGGCATGTGAGACCACAATCCCGGTAGGGTTCCCTACGGACCCGGTCCGTCCACCATCTCCCAGGATATCTAGTCAGGCTGACCCCATCATACAATTATCAGTCTACACAATGTTTCATTTCCCTTTTCCTCAATAAGCATCATCAATTCACATTTAAACAAGCAAATCGTAATTCATGCCGAACAGACAACATACAGTATCAGTTCTTCAGTCATTCAACCCATAATTAATAAAACAGTAATATATGCATTCGAAACTATAAAATGAACACATCAAACCCCATAATGCATTTAAAGCTGTAAAACAGTGTAAAACAGGCCAAATAACAGTAAATCATCAATCACACTAGACTCGGGCTCCATTAGCAACCTTAAGCAATTTCACACATGCGTTAATTCAAGAAATACCGTTTTATCATTTTGAACTTTAATACCGTGATAGGAAATAGGGTGAGGGGTCCTTACTTGTTTTCGGGATCCGAATACGATTCACAGTGCGCCTGCAAGCCGTCCCTAATTTTCCCTGAATTTTTCCCGGGGAACTGAAACACACTAACAGTACCGGCGGCGGCGCTCTCGGGTACGGCGGCTCTCCGGCGAGGTTCGTGTTTTGGTGATTCGGCTTCGGTCAACCTCGATCGGCGGTCGGAAATTTCCCCGGTGCGGCGGCGGGTGGCGGCGGTCGGCCTCTGGTTCGTTTTCTCCGGCGAGCGGCGGGCGGCTAGGGTTTTGTGGTCTGGTGTGGGGGTTCTATTTATAACCCCTTACCTTTTGATCACAGCCGTTCATTTCGTTTTAATCTGGGCCGTTCGTTTTTGATTGAATCTGGGCCGTCCGATCGCGCGATTGATCTGGGCCGTCGGATCGCACCCACACGGATCGCCAACGTGGCTCCTTTCGAAGTGACGCGGTCTTGCCACGTGGCAGGCCCCGGTTGGCCGGGACTGCTGACCGGGCCTGCTGACGTGGCCCCCCCCTTTTTTTTTTTTTTTTTTTTTCCTCCTTTCCGGGTGCTAAATTTAAGCTTATTTAGAATGAAAATACCATAAAGTTTATCGTTGAAATCAATTCTTTAAATGTCATACAACTTCTTTAAAATCAAAGGTAGTGTTGTTTGTCGACCACAAAATTAAGAGCCCACGTTAGGGTTCATCTCATATTAAATTAGGATATACAGATTTGCATGTACGTAGAAAAGATAATATCTATGCAGATCTTTAAGGCTAATTGGGCACAAAACATTCTAATTGTGTACACCACGTTTTTGCATGCTCCTAAAGATCTTTGTGCCTTCATTTAATTATATTATATAATCGACTGACAATTAAATAATTTATACATAAAAAATTCGTACAAATTCATTTTATATTAAGAACTAGATTTAAACTAGTGATACAAGAATATTCAATTTTTTATTCTACCAACTGAGTTATCTCGATCATTCCCAAAGTATCATTCTCATTTAAAAGTTTGAATGAGAGAATTTTTTAGATATTCAAAAAGAAGATTTGTAAGTTTTAGTATGAATTATGATGTTGATTATGAATTGGGTATTTTTTTTTCAAAAATGTTTATTTGTACGTGTATTATGTACAATACAAGATTTGTAATAAATAGAAATATAAAAAGTTTTGTCGAGATAGATTTGTAATAAGATGAATGAAAAAGATAATAAACTTTAAATAAGTAAAATAGAAGATATGACAAAAATAAAAAAATAGAGCGTCAAATATATTTTTATGATGATAGAGGAACTTGAACCCTCCCTACTTTCTTCAGTAGATCAGATTTTCATAATTAAACGATGTATAGTTGGTAAATAATAATTGATTTATAGTAAAGTATGAAATGTATCATCAAATAATTTATAAGATCTTACATGATTTTATTTCATTTAAATAACATATTTGAGCAAAGTAAAAAAAAATTCTTGAAGGTTTTAAGCTTACTTAGAATGAAAAGGCTCTAAAGTTTATTGTTGAAACAATTCTATAGATGTCATACAACTTAAAAATAAAAAATAGTGTAGTTTGTCAACCACAAACTTAGAAGCCTATATTAGGACTCGTCTCATATTAAATTAGGATATATAGATTTGCATGTACGTAAAAAAAATAATGCTTGTATAGAACTTATTGAGCACAAGACATTCTAATTATATACTCCAAGTTTTTGCATGCTCTTGAAGATCTTTATGCCTCCATTTAATTATATTACATAATCAACTGATAATTAAATAATATTTAGAATAGAGACTCGTACAAATTCATTTTATGTGAGGAAATAGATTTAAACATGTGATACAAGAATATTCAATTATTTACTATACCAATTGAGTTATCTCGATCATTCTTAAAGTATTATTTTCATTTTACTAGATGACTAGGGTCTATGTCAATTAAAACAAAAGAAGTATCATGTTAAAAGTTTGAATGAGAGAATTTCTTAAATATTCAAAAAAAAATATTTTTAAGTTTTAGTATTAATTATTATGTTAATTATGAATCAAGTATTTTTTTCCTCAAAGATGTTTATTTGTATGTGTATCACATACAATACAAGATTTATAATAACTAATAATAGAAAAAAAAAATTGGGATAAGTTTGTAATAAGATGAATGAAAAAAGTAATAAACTTTAAATAACTAAAAAATAGAAAAATAGAGTAGATAAAATGAATAGTAGGCATCAAATATATTTTTCTGGTGATAGAGGGACTTGAACCTCGCTACGTTTTAAGGCGATCATATTTTCATGATTAAACTATATATAGTTGATAAATAGTAATTGATTTTTAGCAAAGTATAAAATGTGTCATCAAATAATTTATAAGATTTTACAAGTTTTCGTTTCATTCAAATAACATATTTGAGCAAAATAAATAAAAAAATTCTTTAAGATTTTAAACTTACTTAAAATGAAAAGGCTCTAAAGTTTATTGTTGAAATCGATTCTCTAGATGTCATGCAACTTTAAAATAAAAAATAGTGTAGTTTGTTAACTACGAAATTAGAAGCCCATATTAGGACTCATCTCCTGTTAAATTGGGATATACATATTTGCATGTACATAAAAAAAAAAATAATGCTTGCATAGATCTTTAATACTCATTGAGCATAAGACATTCTAATTGTATACACCAAGTTTTTGCATGCTCCTGAAGATCTTCGTGCTTCCATCTAATTATATTACATGATCGATGAATAATTAAACAATTTATAGAATAGAGACTCGTACAAGTTTATTTTATGTCAGGAACTATATTTAAACTAGTAATATAAAGATTTAATTCTCTATTCTATCAATTGAGTTATATCGATCATTTTCAATGTATCGTTCTCATTTTACTAAATGACTTGGGTCTACGTCAACTAAAACAAAAGAAGTATTAAGTTAAAAGTTTGAATGAGATAATTTCTTAAATATTTAAAAAGAAGATTTGTAAATTTTAGTATGAATTATGATGTTGATTATGAATCAGATTTTTTTTTTCCTCAAAGATGTTTATTTGTACGTGTATCATATACAGTACAAGATTTGTAATAAATAATAATAGAAAAAGTTTTGTCAGGATAAATTTGTAATAAAATGAATGAAAAAGGTAATAAGCTTTAAATAATTAAAAAATAAGAAAAATAGAAGGTATGATAAAAATGAATACATAGAACGTCAAATATATATATTTTTTTTTTGTGATAGAGGGACTTAAACCCTCACTACTTTTTTAAGTCGGATTAGATTTTCATACTTAGACAATATATAATTGGTAAACAATAATTAACTTTCAGTAAAGTATGAAATGTACCATTAAACAATTTATAAGATCTTATAAGATTTTGTTTTATTCAAATACCATATTTAAGTAAATTAAAAAAATATATATATATATATATTATATGGTCAATTTAAACATTAACTCTAGTTTTATTTTTTTCTCTTATTGTAGTAAAAAAATAATAATAATATAATAAGTGAACAAGACGTGCTTATGCAAAAATAATTATAGTAATTAAACAAAAATTAGTTTATAAGATAATGATTATTATTTGAAAAAAAAATTGTATTAATATCTAAATGTCAGCTGTTACTGTCTAATTTTTTATATATATTATTTTTATACCAGTAATTGACCAATGAAATGTTGATTAAACAAAATAAATCATGAATTATGTCTTGGCTGTTCCATTAATCTATTCAAATTTAATAACTATGAGTCTATACGCCCACTATTATTTCCTTTAGTGGAATAATTAATAATATCATTATTATACTTGATTTACGGAGTATTAATGTTATTCAAAAAGGTAACATTATTAGTTGCATTAAATCAACATTATTTATTTATCATATGATATTTTAAAATTAAAATAAAATAGAAAACAAACATAACACCGGAAAAAACATCCATCATCTTCCTAATCTCTGCTTCGAGCAGCCCTAAAAACTCCCCAGAACTTCAATTTATTATATATACACTCATTTCTCTGCAACATTTTAATTCTTTCATAATCTTGTAGCCAACAGATAAGCTGTATATATCCTCCAACTCTTGTCTTCTTCAACCTCCTGTTCTCCGCGGAAGTCCCCGGCTAGGCCTCAGAAGTTGCTTCAGAAGTGCCATCTTGGGAACCTTCCAGTGCTCCACATGCCTGCATGAATGTCATAAGGTTATGAATGTTTCTGTATTGCTACGCAAATCTATAGAGACTTAAACAAAATAATGAATGAGCTTTTCGAATTTATTCATAAATCCATACTTATTTCAAATAGAAAATAACAAAAGTTTGAGTATATCTACAAATAAATTTCATAAAAATTTGAGTTTATTTCAAATATAACTTCAAAGTGTCTCCCACAGTAATCTCTATTACCTGCATACTTTTCCAGATTGTGCATCGAAGTAATATTCTGTGTAACCAGTTGCTGCATCATAATTCAACTGGCTCAGAGTTATGCTACAGGCAAACAATGATTTCTGATGGCGATTAAGAAAATGAAGGAATTACAGGTGGAATTAGTAGTGAAGGAAAGAAACCCTTGTTTCAAAAGACTACAAATTTTACTTCGATGCTCAAAATCAGAGAAAGAAAATACTAACGAGATCCCAATAAGAACTCCATAGCTACAGGGTAACCAATCCGATGGAGAGACAGAGAAGACGACAATAACTTACCAGAAAGAATGGGCCTCCAAGGAAATGACATTACACAACTGAAACGCCAGTGTCCAACTCCCTTCTCCTGGATTGAAAATTGACCTAATAGTAAGAGAGAATTGTAGCCGATAAACATTTAATCTAATCTTTAGAATAGCAATTAAAAACATGCAAAAACTGTCGACGAACCGTATAGATTTCAATTTAAATTTAAATTTAAATTTAGTGCTTCCACCTCAAAGTCCTCCCACCGCGTAAGCTTCATATTCGAGCTTTCAATAAGGGATCCAAAGTTGGTACAGTTCCTTTTGAATCGTCGAAGGCCTTTAAAGGAACCTGCCGGATCAGCAAACTCGCAGTCCTCTTCATACGCATCAAGTGTTAATTGTCCTGATCATCGATTAGATATCTGGTCAAGTACAAATAATTGATAAAGACATTGATACCAGACTGGAGAAGGGGAAATTCGAGTCACCTGTGACAAAATAAGATCTGTCGAAGTCTTCTTTGATGGTTCGAACAACCAAAGCACGATCGAGTGCTCCAGCTCCATTAGAGGGGAGCTTAAGGTCGCTTTGTTGAGCTTCAGTATTTGACTGAGGGCGGAGAAACGAGGCGGCGATTCCCAAGAGCTCCGAACCGTACCAAGCAATCTTGAGCAGCGCGTTCTCGGGTTCGGACTCTTCAGTACCGGTTGAAGAATTTGTAGTCGGATTCTGTCCACTGCACCGGAGTCTGGTGGGTTTGCAGCGGTAAGCCGGGGAGAAGATGGCGCAGTGGTGGCGGGAGTTGAGATTGGGAGTAATGGAAAGAGTGATGGCCATGCTGTAATCATGAAAGATGAGTTGCTCCTCCGGCGGGCTGTTTTAAATATCTTAGTGGGTCAATCAAGGATAGCCATAGAATTTGCTTGGAAATTGTAACGAAAGCAACAGAAACCCAGGAAGCCGAACATAAAAAAAAAAAAAAAAAAAAAAAAAAAAAAGAAACATTTTTGTAATCAAATTTGAAATCTTTAAAAGAACATCTTATTGAATATTTTATTCTTAGGGAGATTCTTTCAGAATTATTTCAACTTTTTAAAAGAATTTTTGAGAATGTAATAGTAAAATTTTCAATTTCTTTAAAAATTATTGCATATTTTTTGAAATTCTTTAGATTTATAACTATTATTTACGTGCTTGTTTCTTTGACAAGATTTTTTTGAGAAATTAATAGCAAAAATTCTTAAATGTGTTCTAAAGTAGATATTTCTTTTTATTCATTTTTCTAAAATTAGATAAATTTTTTGAATTATACACTTTATCAATTAGCTTTTGCGAAAGAAATTAAAAAACAGTGAAAATTATTTGAATAAAAGATATAGGCACAAGATTTGCTGTCAAATTTTTATAAATCGAGGTTATTCATACTTACTCGGCTTGAATGTGTATATTTTGCATTGAAGTTAAAAATTCAAATCAGTTTTTGCTTTCTAATTAATTTGCTGTTATATATTTATTTTTTAATTTGTTTAAATTTTGTTAAACTTAATCTGACTGTCCTCAATTCAAATTGCATATATTATAATCTATTGTAGATAACTAGTTGCATTATTTGATTCAACTGTGTAATTCAGTATATTCTAATTAAAACTAATGAAATATTTAAGTAAGGTATTTTTATTTACTTACAAGTTTACTTAGAAAATGAGAGTTTTTTTTTTTTTTTTTTTTTTAATATTATCTCTACTATCAGTATAATTTTGTGAAGTATTTTATTTTATTTTTTTAATTTTTTCTTTGAAAAAATTATATATACATAATAATAAATTTTTGTTAATAACTGAATTCATAATCTTCCATTGAAAAATTAAGTTTTTGATTCACTTTAAGAATTTTAATTCAATGAAATATAATTTGGGATATAATAATATTATGAAGTGAAATAATATAGTAGTGTAGATAACAATGAAGCAATATATGTTATATATATATATATATATAAATATAAATTACAGTATATTTTGTTTAATCTTAAAAATACAATTATTTTCTTTTATATAATATTTCATTTTTTTTAATGGAGTAAAATATAATTTATCCATGCAGACTGATTCATAGCTATAGAAGAATTACAAGCTTGAATCTTGGTAATAAAAAGCTTCTAATTTGATGGGAATCAGGGAAAATTACTATAATCATGTTGAGTTTGCACTATTTAACAAAATAATATTCCTCCTATTTCATTTATCTTTGCTCTGTATTTTATAATTATTCCCCTTAGTTTACTTGTAAGGATTTTTTGTTCATCTGTTTTTTAATTTCTAGTCAATGCATATCCATGATTCTCCTACTAACCTTAGTATAAATAATTAAATGGTAACCATAATTCATCTCACTCTGCATTTTCTAGATAGGGCAACTACAAAAAGTGCAATACTGGCAGGAATGGAGCCAAAATGTGCAGGAATCAAAATGCACACCGAGTGTTTTTGGCAGTGCTCATCGTGTCAATAAATCATCTTTATTGCGCCGGGTAAAATACAAAACTTCCGAGGAAGAAACCCTAGGTGCTCTCCGTCAGATTGAACATAAATGTTGCCACTGCCTGAAACTTCCTCCACTTCTATGGTGTGTACTCTGCAAGAAACTAGGAGATATCAATGGCAATTCGCAAAAACACCAAATTAAATGCCACTCAAAACAGTTTTGAATGGTAACCACAAGTGATCGTAATTAATGTCCGTGATAATTTTCTAATATTTCATACTAACTTTGCAATTTTGTAAACTCTCTACTAATTCATTGCAAATTAAAGAAAATATCAAGAAATTTGATGAAATGGCAACTAAATGTGAAGGGTCGATGAACAAGAATGAGAATCACTGACCTCCTTGAAGATACATTATTAACTGAGAGATGTGTGCCACTGTAGAGTCTATGCATTTTCAAGATAAAATCATACCACTTGAAGTCCTGGAGAATCACAACCTGCAATTACACAGCAAAACTCAAATGTATTAGCAAAGAATCTTGGTATAGCATGTAATCCAGAATAGTTATCACTTAATAATGAGTTTCTAGTAAAACCATTCCACCTCGAAATTTCCACTACAAGGATCAGCATTTGGTGTAATTTTCATTCCACCACCAAAATATTTTGCATTGCCAATGCAAAGGGCAGTCACCTGAGTACACGTCTCCCACTCACCCCCATTAACCTACATTTACAACATTTTATTAAGTTAAACTGAGATTGCTACTGCTATCCGAACTGTTTGCTGGCATTTTAAAAAGAAAAAAGTATAAAAATCAGAACTAGGAAACCGAAGGAACATTGACCTTGATTCTCATGTCCTTGTTATGGTGCCCAATAAAGGCCCGCAAAGCGCCAATAACATAACATAAATTTCCAAATCTCTTGTATCTTGAAGCATAGTAACCTGCCTTTGCACTCCTGTAATATTCCATAAAACATGAGAATAAGATTTTTAAAATCAGCTTTCACTTCATTTTAGTCTAATTCTCAAAATTTTCAGGTTAACCTTACAGATGGATATCAGCAACATTTATGAAGTAATGCAACTCTTCGCCTTCTCTATGAACAACACCAACATCGATTTCGCATGTCAACCCTGCAAATTTGGCAAATTAAAAATGAGAGAGCAAGATTGGCTAGGTCTAGATACGGTGGCTAAATGATCATGAAATTGCACATACAGTAACAAGGTAAGAAGAAAACATGGTAACACAGAAAGTATTAAAAACAGTAAGGGGGAATAAATACCTCTAGCAATGCGTTCAACTGCTTCATGAGAATCATTTTTCCTTAATATAACATATAACACAAAATGATTTTAGTAATTTATATAAAGCAAATCATATAAAGACAATAGAAAAAAAAAATCCAAGTTAGAGTGGCAAGACCAAACCAGCCAAACACTCTAGCAAAATCAGATCCAGTCCCTAGAGGAATGAGCTGCAGAAAGACACTAGCATATCATGCTTCCTAAAATTTGCAATTCAGAATACATATAAGCAATTATAATTATCTCAACTTAATGAGAATCACTTACACCAAGTGCAGTTGAATTGGCAACTTTGCTACTGGGATTAGTAACGGGTTTCCCAGCCCAAAAGAACCCATTAACAACCTGTTCATTGCAAGCACATAAGGATCAATGATACTGCATCTTTGGGAAACTCTTTTGAGCGTGTGACATCCTATCACACCTTGCTCAATATCAAATGGGAACATCTTGAAAAGTAGAAAAAAGACCATAAATAGATCATATTAGAAGAAAATTCAACTACTCAATTATAGAATTTTCCTTTGTTTAACAACCCCAGAGGAAAAAGTTTGTTATGAGAACTTTGAACTTCTTATTAGCATTATTTGAGCAAAACTGAATGCAATTTCTTACGTCCAGGTTGTGATATATGAGCAGAGTTTACTTCTTGGTTTCTGCAAGTCCCTGAACCAGCTAAAATCATTGGAAATAAAGATAGACAAACGTCAAATCCAATCATCATATATTCATAGAAAGAGAACTAAATTGCACCTCGTGAAGAGTTCCATCACCTCCAACAGCAATTACAGCATCAGCACCCTCTCGTATAGCCTGCAGAGATCAGAGTAGATACATATAAAAGAGCAAACTACAATGTGAAAAATGCCAAAGAAAGGTCAATCTCAATCCAGGATAAATGTCTACGGACCTCCCTTGTAATGTCAATTGCATGAGACGGACCTGAAGTCAAAGATTCACATATCTGATCACAAAAGAAGAAACAATAATTCACATAATCATTAAATTTGAACATTATGAAATACATTATTCACATGTTACTATTTGTCTATGTATGATTTCTCTTTTTCCTTTCTCCCTTCTTTTTTGAGCGTCTGCAAGTAAAGATATTAAATACTAACATCCACGAAGAAATACAACACCCATTTATGTAGAGTCATCACAACTATTGTTTCTATAGCTACTAAAACAAGATGGACAAGATTCTACTATACAAGAACCAATATTTTCAATTAATCAACTTCTGCTTGCTCTAACATTATGTTGGGATATAGATAAGGAAAGGAAAAGACAGTTTTGGCAAAACATGTTCAAAGCACATGGAGAATTGGAAAATGGCTAACAAAGGGAAGAACTCACGTTACAGTCTCCACCAAGGCGAGAGCGGAGATATGGCAGAAGCTTCTTCCATTCCTTACCTGTCTTTCCATTAGCACCTGCACCAGTTTAAATTATTAAGCAACAAAAATCACTATTGATTGAATTAGGCGAGCATATTGAAGGGAAAAAATCAAAGGAAAGAGAAAACAAAAAGGAAAATCCACCATCCTTCCCATTAGTTTTATTTATTGAAACACTTTCTTCTTGATTACGGGACTTTTTGGTTTATTTATTCAAGAGTACATTCTATAGTTCCTTAAAATAGCGGGTAGTCTGAAACCGGCTCTCTTTCTCTCCACATGAAATGGAGAGACTTGTCTAGAATTTTATTTATTTTCAATTAGTTTGGAAGCCTAGAAGTTGCAACTGGGTGACGCATGGCTTATCTAGGCAAGCCCTATCCCTATCAGCTCTCAATTATATTTTCAGAAGGTTCCTGAGTTTTTGGTTTCCCTTCTTGCTCTTGAGAGGGATTGACCTTTTTATATGAAGTATGCTTTATTCCTCAAAAAAAAAAAAAACAAATGTAGAGGCTTCTCCACCCTGACATCCTTGTCGTCCTTTCCTCTCCTCGAATCCCTCCCTCCCGACATGTTAATCGGCTAACATTTTCTCAATAACCAAACAGAAAAAGAACGAAAGAGAGGAAGAGAATAAAGAAGAAAACCTCGAGGATTAACGACGAAAACAAGATCGCGTCGGCGAGGGGAGGAGGCCCCAGATAGGGAGACGGAATGATCAGGAGCCACAGGTTGCTCTGCCCTGAGAACCGAGGGTCTCGTCATTGATATTCCTGCTCGAAATCCTATGTGATTATAGCATACCGCCATTTGTCACTTTCACCTACGTAACCATAAATTTCCACCTCCTGCTCGAGCTTTAAAACGTAATGGAATAAATATTTTACTTGGCGGGTTTAGCTTACAGAGATAATCTACTGCGGAAATGATGATTTGGGAATCCCCAAAGCAAGAATGCCATCAAGCATCAGATATGCAGACCCTTGACTGACGGATTGGGAGTCTCGAATACAAGAATAACGTCAAGCATCAGATCTGCAGACCCTTGAACGATGAGTTGGAATATCCAGACAAGAATGCAGCCAAGCATCACATTTACGAACCCTAGAATGAGTTGGAAACTCCAAATTTTACTGTATAAATTTACTCGCCAAGTTGAAATTCCAGTTTAATTATCTGCTGATACGACATGTTTCGATATATGTACTTTATATGTCATATAAAACTTGTGGTATATAAATTATGAGAATTTATTATATACTTGGATCATAACGGTTCATAATATAACTAATAATACACTCAAATCACAATTTGGTAATTAATTCTACGCGCGAAGATCTTTTGTTATGTTAAATTAAAAGGCTATAAGAGAATTAAAAGAATATCTGATAAATAATAACCCAATTCATCGTCATGTTGGCTTCATTACATTCAAGACTCAAATAGCTACAAAATGATACAACAATCTCCGACCCTCACAATGGTGACTTTCATCTCCGGCCCTTCCCCTTTGATCTAGCATCAAAATGATGACCCTTCAGCTTCTTCTTACGAGGGCCAGCTGCCGATACACCACCTTCCCGGAATGGCATACCCATGAGAGCCAACAGTTTGTAAGATTCTTGATCGGTATTGGCTGTAGTTGTAATGCAGACATCCATTCCCTTGGGCTTACCAAGAACATCAAACCTGATTTCTGGAAACACGCTTTGGTCACGAATTCCAATGCTGTAGTTACCATGTCCATCAAAGCTGTTTGGATTCAAACCCTGAAAATCTCTTGTCCTTGGAAACCCTAAGTTAATCAGCCGATCCAGGAAAGAGTACATCATCTGTCAAATCAAGAAATGAACTTGTAGCATGAGATACGATCTGTGGGAAAACCAAAGAGGTGCAGCTTTGGAGCAGGAGGGAGCTAAGAGCTGGTGACCCTCCCTGTGCAGATAATCTCTCAGTAAAGGCAATGCATTCTAATGGACCAAGTCGTCGACGTATCTACTAAAATCAATCTCCCGAAGGGTTTTTACTTATGCAAAACATGACTGAATTCTCTTACATTATATTGTCTCTAGCATTCTAGTGCAAGTGTTACCAGTAAGGCCTGCTATAACACTTCCAGCCAACAAGAACAATGTCCCGAATGAAAAGAATTAGCATGAAGTTTAAGAAAGACAATGGTAGTAAAAGAACAGTGTGGTAGACCCCCTCTTTTGGAGAAGCAAACAGATAATACTTTCCACCATGACATGCTTTACCGCTCTTACCATCTAAATAGTTATCCTTTAGCTGACCGGAACTCCTAATACCATTTGGGAGGCGCTGTCTAAAATGCATCAATTTATACTTGAACTCCTCGGATTTTGATAACTAAATTCCTAGATTTGAATGTAAATATAGCAGTTGGAAAGTAAATATCATTATCCGGATGTTTTGGTCTTTTCCTGTTCCCATTGGGCAGTGGCAACAATAAATAGCTCCTCTTAGCAAGGGAATGATGTCAGCCTACTACCAAAAATTCATAAGAATTATGCAGTTAAGCACATATCTCTAAGTACAAAGAATCGCAATCATAGTAGCACTAGAAACATAGTAACTTCCAGATTCCAGAATTGGATGGATCATGGAAAGAAAAACATAATCAATTAAGTGACAAGAAGAAGAGTATAAGAGGGAAAGAGGGAAAAGGGCTCACATTTCCTCTGAGGGTGACAGCAATCCCCAGAGGTTGACCTTCCCGGATCTTGAAGGTGGCAATAGAAACCCTTGCTCGTGTCTTTACAGGTCGCTGCCCTGCTATAAGTGCCAAGTCATTCATTGCAGCTTCCAAACCCTTGGCATTCTGTGCAGCATCTCCAATACCACAGTTCAGCACAATCTTCTCAATCTTTGGGACCTGGTTAAGTTGAACACAACATTTTATAGAACGAGACTACATGGATAATAGATTGTAACCAAATTTTCTAAAGTTACAAGCTCACTGTAAAGTACTAAACTTGTTATTTATTTTGTATTTCATTGAGCGCAGCAGGTAAAACTGCACAGACTTTTTTGTATATTATATCTTAACAATCTTCTTATGCACAGCTAAAACTGCTTGTATACCAGACAATGGGCAAGCAAATTTGTGCATTTCAGTTACTTGTAATAAATAAAATTGAAAGCTCCATAAGAGAATCTCAAACTCTCATAATAACTCATAACCAGTTTTCCCAGAAGCTTAGCTAGTAAGAAAAGATTTTATTTCTTGTTTATATTTCATCTTCTGGGATATGAATGTTATAGAAAATGAAGATAAAAAATAAAAGGATGCTAGGATCTGTTTGGTGGAGAGGAAAGTAAGGGAATGAGATAGACCTCACAGTTTATTAATTCATTTGCATTTCAATCGTTGTGTTGTCAATAGAATAACCTCATCTCACTCCTTTCTTTTCCCTTCCCTTCCCCTACATTTTCTCTGCTTCCAAACAAAACCCAGATGCATTTTCCTGGACAATTAAGAAGTTAAACCGAATCCTACAAACGTAATAAGTCAAAATTTAAATTCAAACTCCAATTAAACCTAGAACTGTATGAAATTCCAAATGAGTTCTACAAACCAAATGTTCGTTTGTTCCAAATATAGCCTATAAATAAGAGAAAAGTGAAAGGGGATATTGCCTGGTGAATATTAGCGTAGTTAAACTCTTCTTTGAGTAAAGGAACAATCTTTTCAAGGTAGGTAGTCTTGAGCCGATGCGTCTTCTCTGCTTCGGATTTCTCCACCAAAACAATCTCCCCCGTCGCCCTCACCGAAACCAACCCTCCATTGCCATTGCGAACTGGCACCCGCGCGGACGATGGAGCCGAAACCAATGGGAATTGACCGCGAAACGACGACGTTGCAGGGTGCAGAAACGGAGTAGACGCCATCAGAACCTGAGTTGGTTTTCTTCCTTCTATCCGTCTAGCTTCTCCACTGTCCAAGTTAGAGGGTCAGTGATTGCAGGTGGCATCGCCTTC